TTCTGACCCACCCAACCTCTTCTGACCTGTCCTCTACCCACATCAGCAGTGCGTTTCACTCTGTCTCTTCACTCTATCTGTCTATTCTGCTCCCCACTCTGTCTCTGTCTCTGGTGAATTCTCTCACCCATCCAGCCTCTCCCGCACCTCTGGCCAGTACCCCAGTCCTGTACTCATGAATTTAAAAAAATCTTAAAAAAGAAAAAGAAAACTTATGAAAATTATCACATTTAAATTATAATGAGAAAGCAGTAATAGAAAAATTCTATTGACAATTATAAACATTATTTGCTTGTTGTTATGACGGTGAGTATGGATGAAATAATAATCTATAAGATTGCATACTGAATCAGTAAAAGACTGGAGGGGTACGGAAGAGAAGAGAAAGAGAAAGCACACAAAGGTTCTCTCTCAAGGAAAAGAACCAACTCTCAGGTCAATTGGAAAAAGAATAACATGACATCTTGAAAACAGAAGGGAGAAAACAAAGCAGGAAAATAGACATATAAAACAAATTCCGATGCAAACAGACGAAAAACGAACCACAAAAACAAATATAAATTTCAAAACTATAAGAGATTGACAAATAACACTAAACTTTCCAGCTGTAGCAACAAATTTAATAGTCAAAATATCTTAATCAAAGGCTAAGATTTTTCATACCCATAGAGTTAAGTTAATCACTAAACATGTATGGAGGATATATGAACCAGGTATAGGTGAAGATGCTACAAATATAGCTGTGAACAATATAAAATACTTCAGTTAAAATTATGTTCTAGTGCAGAGACAAAGCTATCAAGGCCAAATATATTTTTAAGTTGAATCAAAAATAAAATTATTAAAAAAAATCAAACAAGAAAGAAAAACTGGAAATGCTAATTACAAAGAAAATAAAATCCATGACAATAAATAAAAATGGAACAGATTGTTTTAGGAAAAATTCACAACTTTCAATGATTAACATTGCATTTATGCGCCCAGTAAGACATTATTAAAATAGATGAAGTAAATAACTATAACTACGAAGATATAATGATCACTGAATAGTAAGAGAGAGGAGCATACCACTGAGTTTTTGCAAAATCAGACAGTAAGTACTAGAAAAATAAAGTCATGAACAAGACCCCATTGTTTTGGGTTAAAACCTGGTTCTGTAGCTTATTTGCTGCATGATCTTAGCCACATTACTTAAACTCTCAGCTTTAGGCTTCAAGAAAATGAGTGTTGATTAATTATAAGTATTAAAGTAAATTAATACTCTAAAGCCTTGGCATCAGATCTGGCAAATGGTAAATGCTCTGTAAATGCCTCCTGCCACAGATATGAAGAGATTGGATGGTGTTATTAATGCCCCAATTTGGGAGATATACAAAACAGCTTAAATCTAAAAATAAAAAACACACATACTATACAGATTATAACTGAATTAAAAAATCTTCATTTGTATTTATCAGATATATGGTAAATTAAGATATTCAAATATACCAATAAATGTTAAAAATACACATAAAACCTTAAATTATGTAAATAAATAAAAAAATCATTACTTATATGTAAATAAATTTAAAATAATAGGCATATACTCTCAGTATTCAAATGCTCAAGTTTCTTAAAATAGTAAGCTGCCAAGGCACAAAGGCATTGTCAATAAAATCTCAATATAAGCTAAAAGACACTTCTCCAAAGAGGAAATGCAGATGGCCAACAAGCATATGAAAAAATGTTCAACATCATTTGTAATAAGGGAGATGCAAATTAAAAC